TCGAGTTATCGACTCTGTGTTAGTCAACTTTTTTTATTCATAAAATTCACGTAAATATAAAGCTTGTGGCAGCGCTGGCAACTTTTGATAAAAAATGTAAAAGCTTTAGCTAAAATTAAAATATAAAACCTTTTTCCATAACAAACATTGTATTCTAAATTCAAAACTATGACGTAGTTTTATGATTTGCCTTTTTATGCTAACATGTAGGTTTTGTCTATTTGGATATGACGAATAATATTATTGAAAAGAGTTTGAACATGAATTGTTTATTACAACGAGGAGAGATAATGGCGTAGGCAAGCGTAACGCAATTGTTCTTATTACTATAATATATGCTAATTAGTTAAAAAAATTAAAGTAAATAGGTTTAATTTAGTTTAAAGTTAATTAAATACTAAGTAAGTATATACTATGACCATTATCATTGACCGTTGGTGGTCCTCAGTTGAACCTTGACAGAACAAAGTGTTTCAATTTGGCTAGGTACTATAATCTACTTCCTACTTATATATAAACGGTCACTAAAGCAAACACAGAAATTCGTTTACCCTACGGAGGTAAAAGGGACTTGTATGTACTGCCTCAATAAATATATTATATATAACTATCATCGTCTTTATATATTTACGGAAAAATAATATTATCAACGTCAAATACAAATTTGATAGAGGAGAATATTATGAAAGACGAAATTATCACACCGACACAAATCCCATTTGCCAACATTACTCATGTACGTGTGGCAGGGTTGCCGTCACTACTATTCAAATCAGTTGAAACTTGCTTTAACTTTTGAAGTAAGTACATATAATAAGTAAGAGAGAACGCTGTGTTAAATTTAGTTTTTTTTAATACATTCTTTTTTATAAGTTTTTACAATTCTTGTCTAGAAATTGAACGTCTTAAGAGTAACACTGAAGCAACTTAAGCATATATGGGGTTAGATTTTTTTGCTATTGCTATCTATATGCGTATGAAGAAATTTCTATAAATCAGAGTCACGCACAACCCTACAACAAAATCATACGTTGCCATCACGGAAAATCAAACGGGACCGTGTCGTACCTCCGCAAACATTAGTCAACGGGAAAAGGGGAGAAAAAGAAGGGCATCGGGGAGAATTACAAATAGTGGACCGCCACGGGGTAATTTGTGAGCGTGAGTTGGCAATTCACGTGTTGCTTTGCTATGACCACACTAGCGGCACGAGTAAGTACCAATTAACTAATAAATTCAAAACAGTAGTGAGCTTTACCGAGTTTAATATGAAATGTCTCGGAAAACTGGAATGGAGTTGAAGTATTAACTACCCATTTGCATAAATATTATATTGGATCATTTAATTGCTATTAACAAAGTTAGATATATGAAAGTAAATTAAATAATAATGAAAAAAAAAATGTATGTAAGTCATTTTTGCAGAATAAATATCACGTGACATAAAAATTCTGATGCTTTGCAGAAGCAGTTGTCATGTGGGACTACTGTGAAGTGTTTAAAACGTAGGGTCGTAGTTCAAAATAGCCTTTAAAAAATTATTAACAATAATTTTTCACGTGATTTAATAAAACATGTACCACCACCATACATTGGATGTTCCCAGTGAGACCACAGCATTATTTGGTAAAGGATTGCAAAGGTTGACTTTTGCTCTTTTGATTTGGACGTTTTTCCACTTGCAAGCGCGGGAGCGCGGTCGGCGGGCCGTTGTCACCTAAATTGTATGAACACCGATCTTTTACAAGGCTAAATGAAAAAAGCAATACGTCCTCACGAAGCTTTTAAACCAATTCCCGTTGGGAATCTAATTTTTTTTACATCGATTGCGTAGACAGTGTGTGTGATTTAAAACATGATCAAACAGTATGGCGCTGATCTGTCTGCGTCTGATGCCTGAAAAAGCAGCTACACTTTCTTTCTTTTTTCATCTTAGTCTAGCAAGGGGCCTCTTAGGTTGGAACTTTTAAAGAGGACAAGTGTGGCGATGTAGAATAGAGTAACACTTTGCGGGAGGCGTCTTTAATTGTTAATTTACTTGCATTATATTATACATTTCTTGTAGATTTTTTATGTCATCGAGGTATGTTTTGTCCTTCTTATTGGATTAATTGTTAAATGCGTTGCCTAGGTTTGGGTTATTCGGTAAAATATATTTAGTTCTTTTTCAACCGGACGGGACACAGTTGACAGACTAGCTAAAATCACGGTATGAAAAAAGTCATTTTTTTAGAAACAAATAAATGTGCATGTTTTAAATTGTAGTAAAAGCTATTTTAAAAGCCTTTTTTACTGGCTAAGTAGACCACTGGGGAACTTGCTGAGGAAATAAAATAAATAATAAAAAGCATTATTTCGCAAGACACGGGTGGGGGTCGCAGACCGTAATCAAAACAAATGACACGCGTGTGTGGCTGGATAACACCAGGTTATTACCATGAGTTACACTGCGAGACAACATTTACTGTCCACTTGGAATTTTAAACCAAACTACCAAGAGTAATCTAGATTTTTTCTTCACAGAGGAAGATAGACAAGCATAGGTCTCACTTTGATGATGTTCGACATAGGTTGTCACCACATCATAGTGCTATCAACCTATGTCGGCTTATGAACTTTAGAACCGAAGATAGAAAACTTTTATAAATATGTCATTAATTGTGTAATCTTAAAGATCCTTTCCATATTGCGGAAAATAAGATAACGTCATTAGTTAAGAAAAAAAAGATGTGTCTTTCTAAAAAAGATGCGACATTGACTATTCAACTACACTGCCAAGTATTTAGGTAGTTCGGTTCAACTTTACACTGAAAAAGTAAAGCTAATGTTAAGTGCAATGGAGTTTTCAATACTTGTACGTGCTATTAACTATGCTGAAACCCAATTATTCAAATAATCTTATATCGTGAATACCGAATATAACGCTAAAATTGAGAATAAAAATGCTGGCAACTTTTTTGCGCAAGCAGTGTAAGGTATTCAAAGCGCTCGCTGGCTGTATTCTTATTTTCTTTGTTCTCAGTTGATTATGAGAAATACCAGCACTTTTTACACGAGCTGTCCCACTCCATTGCTTCGTGTGTTTTTCGTTAAAACTCCTTAGTACTAAAACATGAAAGCAAATCAGATGTTCTTAAAGACATATGCATATTTATTACACATTTAAAAGTAAATTGACAGGATCTTAGTCTTAAGACTAACATTTTACATGGTTACAAAAATGAGCTTTCGATTCACCGCAATTGATCAGGGGTTCAAATTCCGGAGTAATACAAAGAAGTTATATTCTTGCAGTTTTATAGAGCAAACATCTGAAGAACTGTGAAACCTTGCCGAGAAAATGGGGAAAATTTTAATTAATACATTTAACACAAATTTTCACAGACATAGTTATTATAAATGTTTAACAAGTTTTCTTTTGTAAAGCCATATTTTAATTACGGCGTACAAATAAAAATGTTACAATATTTTTGACGCGAAAATATTCTCCGGATAAGCCACCTAGCGGTGACGTCCCGGGTTTAGCTTAATCCCGGTCGTCCCGACTAGTGGTGAATTTAAACGGGATCAAATGCTACTAGGTGGGTAATTTATTTTATACGTGTGTCCTGATATGAATACCTAATTTTGCGAAAAATACTTCACGTGACATAAGCTAAGACTAATTTACTTTCTACAAATAAGACGTTTTATTTTGTTATCTATACTAATATATAAAGCTGAAGAGTTTGTTTGTTTGAACGGGCAAATGTCGGGAACTACTGGTTCTAATTGAACAATTTTTTTTTGTTGGTTAGAGCTATTGTCGAAGAAGGCTATATGAAGAATATTACGCTGTGACTAACAGGAGCGAAGAAACGGCGCAAAATGCGGTAAAAACGGGGAAAATTGAAAATCATCTTTGTAGGTTTCCGATGCTACGCTGCGTATTAGAATGGTTTTTTTTAAATTTTAAAAAAAGATGAAGATCTCTTAAGATGAACTCACAAGAACGACGGATCGCGAGTGATGGGACGCGTCGGATGACATAGGTAACAGTTTGCAAAAAAGTTTTGGGCGCCCAAAATAACTATTCTATGCGGACGAAGTCGCTGACTAGCTAGGTAGGTATGTGTAGTTCGTCAATATTGAGAAGTTTTAGGTGAATAGTTAAAGAGTGAAATAAAACCCTTTTAAACACGTAACAATAATTAAGGTATGTATTTAACGAGCAATGAGATTATTTTGTGAATAGAGATGTTATTAAAAAAAAAGAAATTGTAATTTAAATTATGTTTTTAACAACCACATTAACAATTTACTAATAACATTTGATATACTTTTTTTTCAAACTAAGGTTAATATAGGTACCTACAATGTCACAACAATTGTCCGCAATATTTATAATGATTTTGACGTGTCATTTAATTATCAATTATATATGTATACTATGTTCCTTATTTAACTCCGAATATTGCATTCAAAATACATGACATTCGTTAGTAAAACGCTAGGAATCGTTTAAAAGTTATAGAAAGCTTCGCGCGTAGTTTGTGTGAACAAAACGTCATTGCCACCAGTTAATTGTTAAAAACTTTTAATTGGCCCCAAGTTTCTGGTACAGTTCGAGGGCCATGCAAGTCGCGAATTCCACTATTTCTAGATCGTTCTTGCTTTATTTTGACACTTTATACAAATATGCGAAATTTTGTTAATTTCATGTTTTTTAATGTTCTTTCTAATTAAGGGTAATTCAAGAAGTGTTATGAAATCAAAAATTAATTATTAAGTATCTAAGTGTGGAAACATAATAAGAAATCCTACTACTTCTGACTTAGCAGCCTTTTTACAAACAGATCCGCGCTGGTAAACGGGATTGGTTGTGATCTTTTACTCACTTCTGCACTGACTACTGAGCGATGTTATAGGACGAAGAATACATCTTGGAAGGCAGTAAAGGCGTTTGTTGTTTTGTGAAGCTGAGATTACACTTGAAAAGAAATAGTTGAGTGACTTCTTAGTCACAAAGCCATTCTCTCTTGAGAATGATCCATAGTCCCTTCCGATGCGTAGGCATTGGACCACTCAACAGAATTTGCTGGTCGAAAGAGGCTCTTACCAGAGGCAGAGTGATTGGGCGTATCAACCTGAACACAGGACTTTGCTGTATGCCGGGAACGGCTTACGCTCTGTGGAAGTCCCCATGGATATTTAGTGAGTAGTGAGTCCCAAATTCCTCACGTCATACAAATTGGCCGTGCGTGGGAGTTGATAGATCGATTTCTGCAAGAGGGATTCAAAGATTAAATTGCGCATTACTGAAGTTATATTAGATGTGGCTAATTGTTAAATGCGAAATAACGTAATGTATGGTATTTGGCAGGCACACGTCTGTGTTTGTTTCAAAAATAAAATAGTAGAATTTATTTTCTACCAAGGTTAGATCAAACTTCTGTGTTCTACCCGAGCGAAACTATTATGCACGGCAAAAAAATATGACTTCTTGTACTTTTATGACGGGTGGTAATGTACTTGATGTTATGTAATACTGAAATAAGTCTGTATACTCAGGAATCTGGAAACTAAATGTGTGGTAGCGATATTGAAATTCTCCCCAGATTACGAACCCCCGACGACAAATGAAAAAACTTAGATGTTATATGGCTTTGGTATTTTACCTACCATTAAATAACCCTATGATTGTCTGCCCTCTTTAAAAAAAACGTTTCAACCATTAGCAATATGTGTACTTTGTAGACGTTTCCTGGCTCTATGCACGACATCTAGGTTCTCTAGCTAGAAGGTAGTTTTCAACGATAACGTCCGTATTAGCGAAAGCGAGTGAAAGATAACTGTAAGTACTTTGACATAGAAATACCAACGTTGAGGTAAAACTTGAATCGTGGCTAAGAATTAAAATCTGACAAGAAGTTAAAAAGAAACTTTTCTAGCAGCGGCGCTTGTGCTCTCTGGAAATCATTTTATTACGAAAAAGGAATTACGTTAAAGATTTTGGTATAGGTAAAACACCGATTCTAGGTGGACATAGGAACCAATCTAGAATAGGATAACGATATGTATTCCTTGAACTATGGCAGAACATATTAAGAGAACTAGGTAATAAATAATCTTTTGGTACTTCTAACCTTCCTTATCATTTTACAGATACGACTGAACTAGATTAATTTTTATCCTGAACCAAATTCTATTTACAATAAACTTTCATATTACATCATATATATCAGTTTATGACAGTTTTTATAGTTCGAATATTAAATAGTAAAAATATTGTCCAATTCTTCCCGAATTCGTACAATTTCCTGTTCCGAAGAATCATTAAAAAAACTCGTCCCTTCCAAGACGTCAAGACGTACCATAGTTTAAGTCCATGAGATTTTTTTTAATGAGTACTGCACAATTTATGAGAGGTGAGCGGGCATAGTGTCGTGATCACATTTACTGATGTAACGTATCCGTAACGTAACGAATATGAAAAAAACATTGCGAGTCATTGGTAATCTGATAAACATCTACTTAAATGGGAAATTTATTTTTATATATAGGCAAAACAATTAATATACTTTTAAATGTGTATTATGTAATTTGTTTATAAATGTTTAAGTGAAGTTTAATCGCGTTTGGGTTTCAGTCTGTGGGTTTTCGAATATCCAAAACCAAAATATGTCGACAGTGCACCTTCTTATTTAGACTTACTTTCAAAATGTTACGAATGTAAACCTACACGTTCATTGATTGATTTCTTTACTGAGCAGACCGCTTCAGCTGGTATTCGAGAACGCAACTCAAAGTACGGTCGGCATAAAGCTTCGTTCAAGTTTTTCCCTTCCTTTACGACGTAAACAGCCCAACATTCCTTGATGTCGGTATTCTCAGAATTTGATTGTCTCCATAAGGAACCTCGTAAAATGGAGGGAATAAAAGAGAACTTACTCTTTTTCGATCTGAAATTAGTTTTGAATCTTTATAGTTTGAATATAACGGAAGGGATTTTATTATTCAGCTCAAATCGTAATTGGAATTTGTTGAATTGTGGTTTTCGTGGAAAAGTATTGCTGTAAAGGTTGAATATTTTTTTATATAAAATTAAACAGAGTTGTCTCTACTCTACTTTTTGAAACTCTTTGTATAATAACGAGCTGACCTGCAAAAGGTTATTTTGAAAAAAAAAATACTGCAATAACTTGTCTAAAATTATTACTTTTCCTCGTTTTTTCACATTAGTTGCAGCATAAGGTTTTATAGCCTTCCTCTATCAATGCTCTAACCAACACATAAATAATTTTTAATTCGTTGTTCTTGAGCTTATCGCGTTCAAACAAACAAATTCTTCAGCTTTATATTGTCAGTATAGATGTATATCCCACACAGGTTGTAACGGAATGCATACATAGTTCGCTGTCAGACACTCAATGTCAAGCTGTCGCTGTCAAATTTAACGTTTACTCTGCCATGATTTGAAACAACTATGATGCTGACTGCAGGGCGTCTATATCAATAGGAGACCACAGCACGAAATATAATTTCATTGTTAAAACAAACGAAATGATTTTTTATTGTAGGCATCTGTTACAAGTGTCCTATAAAATGCGTATTAGTCGTACAATCAATTAAACAGCAAAGATCCTGCAGCAATTAAAAAACGTGGAAATATCGCGTAATTTGCGGCGTAGGACCCTTATTCCGAAGGGTTGTCTATTTAAATGTTGAATATAAATTTTAAAAATATCTTAAATATTAGATCACGTAATATTAAAATATTATAAAACAGATATACAAATAGATAAAATTCATGTTTCTATTAGTTTCATTAAAACTTTACAAGTGACAGAAATTCATTTTCATTATAAAATTAAGTAATAATCGTATTATATTAATGTCAACGAGGTTTCGACTAAATGAGAAAGTAAATTTTGATACAAAATCTACAGAAGCACACTTTTGTTAAAATAAAATTTAGAAATGTTGACAACCCTAGTTCTCCGAGCTCCTGGCATTTATCAAACCCGATGTGACGTTTGAAAAATTTCATCCCGTGCCAATATGGCTGAAAGATTAAAGCCCGGAACAACGTTGTAATTCTGCAGCAGTCACCTTTATATTAATTCTGGAATAATTGCTGAGAGATGGATTACCCAAGACAAAACTATGAACACGTCTAAAAATATTTTAATTCAAGCTAAGTTATCTCCGTAGGTGGCTATGTCTGCCATATAAAAGCAATTCGACACATTGAGGCAAATAAAATAAGCGAAGCGAATATTTTCGCGCTTTTCTGTTTTTCATGTTTTATTGGCTTGTCGTTTGCCGCATTGTCTGATTAGTAGATATTGCATACATTTGCATACGGTAGACACGTTGGTGGTTGCATCGCGGGAATTTAACCATTGGCGACTCAAACGTGGCTAGGTACAGTGCTCTCCTAACTTTTTGGCCAGGCTAAAGTTAGCGCGAATGGTTGCGCTGGACCCAAAAAGGGGGTATCAGTTGATATCAGGGGTGCACGGATGCAGGGCACTCGACTATTTGCTTAAAATCGGCAGTATCATGCGCAAGATGGGGGCGTGCTAACTTCAGCCTGACTAAAAAGTTTGAGGGATTAGAGATTAGAAATTGTCGTTATCGTTTGACAACTCATAAGTATTTAAATAAAACACTTTAACGGTTTAAAACGCGTTATATTAGTTAAACTTATTTGAAAATAAATTTTTAAGTCTCCCCGTGACCACGGTTGCTGCAAAGCATCCGAAACATCGGGCCGAAGTTAAAAATCATTTTCAAATAAGTTTAACTAATATATCGCATTTTAAACCGTTAAAGTGTTTTATTTCAATGTGTACTACTCGCGTAAACTATAGACAGTATTTAACTCATAAGTATGTTCCAGATACCTACGGCAAATTCGTTACAATAAAATTTTGACCTAGCTCTACATGTCTCTGTCATCAAATTTCGGTCGTTATGTCATTACACTAGTTCACCGTACTTCGTCAATTTCCTGCCGTTCGTTCGCGAAATATCGCGGATTCAAATTGTTTTATTTACCTTACTTAAGTCTTCCTCTAACTCACATAGTTATTTATATGGCCTTAGGACAGAAGCCGGGAAAAAATATGTGACTATAATTCTCGTATTACTTAAAATTAAGAAGAAATGAGGTTTAAAAAATGTTTTAAAAAGATTTAAAAATCTGGGGAAAGTCGAAATTATGACCAGCGTCCCGTGTTGTTTTTAAGTTGTCCTGAGCATTTTTGCGCTATTTAAGCTCTCTTGTATAACATTATAAATACAACGTGATTCATTTAAATAATTGTATTTATTAGAAAATGAATTTTTATATCAAATTAAAAATGTATTTAAAAAGCTATTATCCTAAGAAAACGAGAATCAACAATTAAATCTCCATGTCTTGCACAAAAATATCATCCACAACGTTTGCTTTTGAAATCAGGAAATTGAGTTGTCGAAACAATTTTTAACCTAAAACCAAATTAAATTTCGTGTTAACTTTCAATTGTCGTCAGCTTATTTTAATGAAGTTTAATCAGTTCCCCCCTACCTAATAACAACTTTGACTAAATTGAATAAATTTCCGAATATTTTGCTTTGTCTCGGGGCTAAAAATTCCTCCTTCATAAGTACCAAAAAACTCTTTCTAATTAGTAGCAGTAGTTTCTAGTTTAATGACGTCAGACAGGAGAACCATTAATTGGTGTTTACTCGAAGTAATTGGCATAAGTCGAGCATTGTCGAATTTTTTTGTTTGAAGTTTCACCCTTGCGAGGGGCTATTCTATTGTTTCGCTTTTAAAATGGGGTCCACTAAGATGCTAAAATAACAACGTATGTGTAATAGAGATTTCATCGAAGTATTGCATAGTACTACTCAATAAATCAAGCAACAAAAAAAGAACTCGGTGAGCAACAGCACTAGACTCTCGTCGTGGGTTCCAGCCCCGACCGTGTCAATGATTTGTTTTTGTCAAAATGGTTTTTAAATGCGACAGTACTTTTTATTCTACAATTTGTGCATTGTTTTACAATACGTGAGACAAATAATAAATAACAAAGAAATATAGAAATAAAAAGGCAAAATGATAAAGATGGTCAAAATGCCATGGTTGGGCGGGCCCACAAGGGGCCCCCCATATAAAATTTTTTGACGGGCTCCTTCGTCTAATCGTAGCTAATGTATGGCTAATAATCAAGGGGTCGTGGGTTCGGTCCCCACAAACATCAAGTCTAAAAAGGACGGGTCCAAGATGTTTCTAATTTTTCAATATATAAATTTTCTGAAACGTGTTATATTTCGCCTGGAAAGCTGGGTACTAAATGGGTGGTAGGAATATAGGAATTCTCTCTGGTTACGGACCATCGTCTACAGATGAAAAAGCCGTCAAGTTTATCACGTTTCGGTTGCATTCAATATCCAAAGTCAAAATAGGTTGAGAGCGCGTCGTGTTTAGATGCTATAGGCTGGGGTATATCACCTCCCATCTAGTGACCCCCATGCAAGTCCATCCTCCTGTATCATTAAAAACAAAATAGAATACGATAATGATGTATGAACTTGGACGTAAAAACGCAATTATGTTTACATTAGTTGAGCTTTCCCGTGCGCAAATAATTAATGTGTGTTTGTAAATCGTTAGGGCTATCGCATTTAATTGATAAGTGTTGGCTGAAGTAGCTTCTACGTTCATTAGTAAGGCGATCAAAGAGTACTGTGAGTATAGAGATCCCCCTGTTTACTGTTTATTATTGGCGTGTTAAACGCTACCATTATCGTGGCATTACTTAAAATAAAATAAATTATTGAACAAAACTGAAAACTATTAATTGTACAGACTAGCCTCGAACCCACGACAGTGAAACAAGCTTTAAATATTTATTATAAGTGCTATGATAAAACGTGACAGAATAATCCAAAGATTAGATTAGACTAGTAGCTTAAATAACTACATACAGTCACCAGTCAAACAGACACAAAAATGTGTCGGACCCATTCCTAAAGTGGGATTTTATTTACTGATTAATATGCAGTATGTGTATTAGAACTACACTATAATGTAATAATCACTCACTTGATCTAATAAACAAGTCAAGCTCGTAGTTGAAATGACGCTGAAAATCTATTAATTTTTTTCACTAAGACGTCGACATATGTATATATATATACTACATATATACACTAGCTGAGCTCGCGACTTCGTTGGTATGGGAATAGTTATTGAGTGCATCAAAATTTATTTTATGCCAACAACCTCTTCAGTTTTATAAATCATAGCAGTCAACCAAGACGTTGTCCGCGTCCCGTCGCGTTCTGAGTTAACCTTAATGGATAGACCTAATATACTGACGTGGTCAATTTTTACATCATTTAGTGAAGAGTCATTTAAATAAAACGGTTTAAAATGCGATACATATTAGTTAAACTTGTTGGATAATTATTTTAACTACGTCCTAACGTTTCGGATGCTTTACAGCAACTGCGGACATGGGGAGACTCTTGGGTAGAGGTTATTTAAAAGAATCATTCATCAATTTAAAAAAAAAAGAATAACTTTCGCCGTATTTTTATTCTTTCGTTTCTATTGATAACCCGAAGTCTAGTAAGTCTAGACTAGTTAAAAAAGGTTTAAATTGGTGATGACTTTTTAGAGTAAGGGTAATATATAATTTTGCCTTACATAATATGTCTATATCTAGGTTCTATATCATAATACCTTAAACATGGCCTTCACGCAAAAAAATAGACGCAACAATTGTCGTTTAAGAATTGGTGTTTACAATCAAAAGGTCAATTGATTATACGAACCTAGATGAGGACACAATCTGTATGTTAATAGACGATGTGGTTTCGTAAGTTGTATATCTCACTGTTTGTAAGAAGATTGCTAAAATAATTATTAAAGATAACATTCTCTTTTCCCCTTTTATTGGTGTTTCTATAAGATTATATTAAAATAACATTGTACTTTAATGTCTCATCAATAGATAAGAAGTATACTTAAAAATTAGGGTCTATACTTTGTTTTTAAGTTTTTTCTTTGAACACACTAATCTCAGAAACTACTGGTCCTAATTGAAAAATGATTTTTTTCACGCTGCAATTAATAAGAAACAGTGGAAAATGTGGACATGTGTTGCGTATGCAAAACATATATAAATATAAAATGGTTAAACCTTCTAAAAAATCCGCGACAGTATGTCTATCTTTTAATATTAACTCTCAAGAACGACGTAACGTAGGTAACAGCTATAATTTAAAAAAATGAAGGAGGTTGATTGCCCAAATATGATGCCCAAAATACTCGTCTATTCTAACTATTCAAAGCGGACGAATTCGTGCGCACAGCTAGTAAAGATATAAAAGTCACAATTTAGGGTGGGTAATGAAGGACAGGAAACCAACTAATTTACTTCTCAATTATGACAACAACTCGTAGAAGACGTATAGTAAAATATAAGAAAGAGACGTAAGTAGAAAGGGAATCCCCGATGAAGAATGTAACTTCCGTAAAGGCACG